TTGATGAACAACTTTTCACTGTGGATAAAGTTACTAATTGTCGTAACACAAGGTACCTTAGTACTGCCAAAATCAGTAAAGGAAGTCCCTGAGAATATCAGGTATTCATTTTCATCAAAAAAACCAGCTTCTGTGATGATACTTAGCGTGATAGCAAGTGATGGAAAAAAGTGTCCACCAGTTTTTGCGAAAAAAGGTCAAAAAATTGACAGTGATGAGTATATCTACCTCCTGCAAGAGAAGGTCATTCCCTGGTTAAACAGAAACTATCCAGATTGTCATTATGTGTTTCAGCAGTATGGGGCACCATAAATAGACCATCGCTTTTAAAATCATTGCTTAACACATAATGACAACTGGGACAAATTAAAGTGGCTCCCATCTAGCCCAGATCTGAACCCATTAGACTTTTTTATGTGGACAGCTGTGGAGAAGGAGGCTTGCAAGATTCCCCATGGAAGTACCGAGTCACTAAAAAAAATCTATATTCAAACCATGGGCCAAATTTCCAGAAGATGATGTCAAGAATGCATGCAAATCCTTCCAGCGGCGTATCCAACTTGTGTATGATGCCAATGGTGGCTACATTGAATAATTTTAAATCTTAGTTATGAATAAACATCTAGTCAAAATACTAGTCAGTTATGAATTGAAATAAATTTTTTGTTTATTTTCAAATTTTTATATTTTTTGCATTACGCTGTTGCTCGGTCACCCGGTATATATATATATTTATTAATATATTAAATTTAGAATAATTTATAAATGATTTTCTTTATTTTATTAATGATTTTCTTACTTTATTTATCAATGATTTAGGTTGAGGACTGTAGAAGAAGACATGATTATGACCCATTTATTTCAACATTTCTCACAATGCTTGCGGACCAAGGACAAATTGCTGAAGTGCTTGAACGCCAAAAAGGAGTAGTAAAGAACGTTGTTCTAAATACAAAAAGAAACGGACTTAAAAAAGATATTCATAACAAGAAAAAAACTCGAGCTAAAAGTAAATAACATTCAAAATTTGAAAATAAAAAAAGAAGAAATAGTATTAAAAAAAAAAAAAATGTATATAGATGAAAATATCTTCAATATCTTTAAAAAATCTTCAATATCTTAAAATATATCTTATTGTTACTTATTTTTGTTAATAAATGTTTTGTAAGAATTTTATTAAAAACCATTCTAGCCTGCTTTTATTGAATCATCTTTACATTTTATAAAATATGCTTATACTGTAATATTGTTTAGTATCAATTCAAACAGGTATTGACTTATTACTTATCTTGCATTGATATATTGCTTGATCTTTTATTATCAAAATAGATAAAAATTTCAAAAGATGTCTATTGTGGCATGATTTTGATAGGCTTTCCAATAAAGGTTGTGAATTAAGATATTTCAATACTTTGAAATGGAAGTGCTGTTAATGAATATTGATGTTTTGGGGTACATGTTCTATGGTTCATAATAGTGGTTTTGTTTGAAAACCTTGTTGGTTTATTTTTTCTATTGCTATGAAGGTGTTATTGTTTTTTTTTACTGGTAATTTTTTTCTCTCTTTTTCTTATTATTTTTTAATTACATTTTTCTGTTATATCTTTTACTAGTTTTTTTTAATTATTTTTTAGTTTTTTTTTAATTTTTTAGTTGTCAATGCATTCTTTGGACCAAATGGGATTGCTATAGCAAAAAATTCAGCAAAATCCGAATATGCACTAATAACTGAAAAGAAAGCATTGGTGTGTACTATACACTCCAGTAACGCTATTATAGATTTAAAAAAAGACGATAAAACTTTGATTCATCTGGTAGTACGTGACAACAATTTTATTAACACTGATGATAATTATACAATATCGGGTAGCAAAACTAATGACACAATCAGTATATCTATTAAAATTAAGATAAAATTGTTTGAGGATGAAGGTTTATATACATGTTTTGTGAGTTACAATAACAGGATTGTAGAAGAAGAGTCATACAATTTGACAGTGTTTGGTAGGTATATTTTTTTGTGTGTATGTTTGTGTATTGGTGTGTTTTTATTATTAAAAAGTTTAAATTTTTAAAAAATGAAAGCGATTGGCTCAAAGTAATTAAGCAAGCTAAACATGTTTTTAAAAAATTTCTTTAAAAACCTCGACAAACATTTTCAACATTTTTGATGATGATTTTTGTTACATAATGTAATGTAAACTTCTTCGTTAAGTCAGCACTTTTTTGAGTTGACCTAATGTTTGAATGAATTTTTATAATAGGTCAATAAAAATGTAACAAAAAAATACCTGTTTGCATTGTCTATATTATACTAAGTATTCTATACAAAATGTTTATAAAAAAGATTGAAGAGAAATTTAAGCTAAAAAAGGTTGCAAAGAATTGTAAGCAAAAACTTGTTTAATGCGTAACTTATCATCTTTGGGCAAATTCCACCACTGGTTGTACACTTTCTTAAATTCTTTAATCTCGCTTATTGTTTAGTTTTCATATGCAGTAGTGGTGTAGTGGTAGAGCGCTTGCTTTATAAGTGAGAGGTTCTGAGATCAATCCCTACCTCATCCCTGGTAGTACCGCACTTGACTTGTTTCTCCAAGCAGCAGCCTGATTCTTGAAGATTTGTGTTTTGGAGTTATAGAATTGAGAGAGGGTTATAACCACAAATAAGTAGCCTCCTCGTCTGTAGTGGCCTTCTTGACCTTGGGAAGGTGAAAAAAATTCACTTGATTAATACAGATTAATTTGCTAAATAAAATTAAACAGTGGACAGAGCAACTTGCTGACAAGATTGCTCTAACAGTAAAAGTTGTAAATGATACCAAAAGATAAAGATTGTAGTGAGAGGAATGAAACTAATATCAAAGTTTGTAACCATAATAACCAGTGATCCAAAACAAAGAGAATGGTTGGTGCAAGACTTTAAAAATCATAAACAGCAATATCCTGATTATGGTAAAAAAATTCTTGCACAATGAAACAAAATTAATAACACTCAAAAAGTCTTATATTTAATATTACATTTCCCTTTGGACATTTTAAAAACTGTTAACCAAAAATGCAGAAGTAGCCTGGTTAAACTGGATAACTAAGTATATATTATACATGTTACTTGATTTCTCTGATTTGTTAATTATGGTGTTTTTAAAAATAATTTGCATAGTGAACACTCCTAGTATATTTATTTGCACTTTAATTGATTCAAGTGTACACTATCCTAATTTATTTCACACACTTTAAGATTTAGAACATAGGCTGAAATTCATTGACTAAACTAGCAAGTTTTCTAGACTAAGAAGAAAAATATTATTTTTACTGTAATAAATGTTCTTTATAAAGCTCAGATTGGTAGAACAAACAGTACCTACTCAAACTATCAGTTGCTATATGTTCTGAAGCCCTAGTCACTGACTATTTTATGACTATTTTAGTAATTCATCAATTACATTTTAGGAAGGATGAAGGAGGGGTGCCCAGATGTATTAAATTAAAATTTGATCTCTTCCATAATATCATATCTAAACAAAATGGCATTATGGAAACTCATCTGAACCACAGCCATGTTGAATCATGAACTATTAACTTGACAATATGGAGGCATATACCAAAAAGTTACTATATTTTGATAATATTTTGGTTATTAAGATAACTGGCTGATGCAATCTGTATCAGCCAGTTATTCCGATCAGCTGTTTAATTTTAATTATTTTTTTGACAGCTTTCTTAGCTGCTGTCAAGACCTCATTCTGATTTATTAAAGAATTTTTGAAATTTGAAAATAGCTGATATGAGGCTGAATTATCCAAAATTATTCCATATGAAATCAACTAGTTTTTTAAAAGTGCCCTATGTCAATGGCTCAAATTTGATTTAAATTTTGACTGCCAACAAATTTTATGAAAAATATCTTAAAGTTTTCAGTTTGATTGACCAATCTGTTCAAAAACTATGATTGAATCAATATTATAGAAAATCAGAAAAATTTGATGCTTGCAGTTGATTCTACAAGCCAGCTAAAAAACTAGGGCTTACACTTGACATAAAAGCCAAATACCATACAAGTCTACCCTTCAACAGTTCGCTGTACACAAGAGCACAATACACATTAGAAGATCATTTCACGCAAGTAATAAGATAATAAATATACAATAAAAAAATAAAAGATAAAAAAAATTCTATAAAATCAAAACAATTATATAAAATAAAATAATTTAGTTGAATCCTTAACTCAAGTTACTGAATGGCACTGTAGCCCTTATGAAGCCATCTCTTCTCTCAGCCCCATAAACCAACATTGAAGCCTTGGCGACCTCTTTCACCATGTGCTTAATAGATTGACTATGAACAGGAAAGATTGGTGCAATAATTGGTTTGTTGATAAATTATATTATGTCTTCCTTCATTAAGCAACTAGTTCACTATTCTCTACTGTTTCCCAATTAATTAAATCTATCATATTGCTTGCTTTAGTATTTATATTTTAGTATTTTGACATTTTCTGTCATCTATGTCTTTATTTTTTCTTATATCAATTATTTTCAGCATTGCAAATCTTCTTTCTTGTTTATCTGAACTTACACAGCAATGTCTGAAGAATAGATTTACTGTGTGCGTTTCAAGGAGATTCAATCATCTTGCACAATTGTGCAGGCCAATTTGATTCTCCTTCAAAATCATTAGGGAAAGTACCTGGTGCTACTGCATTATATATTTTTTATACAAATACTTCTGATCTGAAGATAAGAAATCTACAACTTTTTTTCCAAGATGAATCAATAGTAGTATAGTCAAAATAGTTTTAAAATATTTAAAAAATTTTAAGATGATTTTTTTAAAAAATTTTTAAGATGATATGCTCGGTAAAATTAGCTAAAGTATGCAGAAATGATATATTTATGATGAAATCAATATTTTCAGGTTCAAAATTACCTGACTAAACATCAAGTGTAAAAATAAAGAAAACCAGTTCTCTGTATCATATGGTATGTATTATATATGTATTTGTGGTAGTCATATATATGTATTTGTGGTAGTCAATTTGAGGTAATTTTCAAATCTCAAATACCATACACTCTAAATTTGGGACTTCAAAAAAAGTTGAGCTCAACAGGACTACTAAAACCTTACCCTCCTTACCATTTTTTTTAGAAAAGAAGTTCTCAAAAATCATCAAAAACAACCAATTTCACAGGTCCCGGGGAAAGTTTAATAATATTTTTGATATTTTTATTCTTTGATATTGATTTTTACCTATATATTTGAGTAAAAATACATGGTATCATGTATTTTTACATCATCCTTATTGCTGTTGCTCTGTTACTAGGTTAGCTGTAGGTTTTAAATACTTAGTTAACTTAGGTATTTTTTCTTAAACCTTTTTTTGATTTTCCAGCCGTTTTATTTATCTTTTTCTATTGTCTAAGCCACTTAGTTGTCATTTTTTCCCTGCATTTAATTGAATTTCATTTCTGGACAATAATTGCATTAAAAATATGGTGATAAAGGTCAAAACCAGTAGATATACAATCAGATATACAATCAATTAGTAGATATACAATCAAGAAAACATGATTTTTTTCTGACAACAGTTCTTTCAAGGTCTTGATGTAGATGAAACCTTATATAATTTACATTATACCCTGTATTGTTTAGTAGTTTAGTCATTTAGTTTAGTATTGTTAAGGTTAATATTATTATTTAGTTTTGATGAAAATTTTAATTATTATTATAATTTAGTTATTAGTTATTTTATTATGAAACATAAAGATAACTTAACGATTTAATATTAAAATTAAAGATTGTTTAAAAACTTTTTATATATAAATATTTATACACATACACATATATACATATACACACTACACATATACACACATAAAATATATATATATATATATATATATATATATATATATATATATATATATGTATATATATATATATATATATAATATAATATAATATAAAAACATGTAGGTATTAGTTAAAATATATAGATATAAAAATAAATATATATTAATTAAGTTGTGAAATATATTACATACTCTATGTATTTGAATACGTTTTTAAGAAATGGATTAAATAAAATAATAATTTGTTAAAGATTAGTTGGGTTTATAGTAGCTTTGCAATTTTTTAATGAAAATTTATTTTCATGATGGCACTTGGGATATAATTTCTGTTTGTTTATTTAGAACTTCTTTAGATTTTGGGTATCATACAATTGTAAATTTTTCATATAAACATAGTGGGCATCTTTTGGAAATATTTGAGTAGGTACAGATTTCAAACAGTATTTATTATTTCATATAGTATGATATAAGATTATGATAGTATTTAATAGTTAATATATTATAGTATAACATTTTGACCTGTTTAGTGTTAAAAAATGGAGTACAAAATTCTATTTATATGCTGCCCTATTAGCTATGCTGCCCTAAGCTTGCGCTTTTTTTGCTTATAGGTAGTGCTTCCAATACCGGTAGTACCGATACCAGTATTCCGGTAGTACCGGACTTTTTCAAGTACCGAAATAGCGGTATTGGTTTGGCTCAATACCGGTATTAAAAATATATGTAGAGGGCTTGTAATATAGCAGTTGGGAAGTGGTAGAATGGTAGTCGACTAGTGGTAGAATGCTTGGCTTACAATCCAGAAGTTAAAGGTTCAAAGGCACCCTTAGCCACTGGAAATACAGTGCTCAACCTGAGCACTGTATTTTCAATTTTCATGTAGCAGCTTAATTAAAGGTTTGTTGAGGTTAAAAAAAATTAATTCTTATTTTAAACATTCACCACAATTTCTATAGATATATTAGGTCATTTAGAAATTACTGACAGTTTTTGATAATAAGTTTAAACAAAAAACTTTCAGGACAATTTTTTTTTAATCAAGATAGTTTCTAGTTGAATTTATACATTTTTTCTAACAATAAATAAATTTTTTTATGCCCTTTGAATAAAAGTTTTTTTTTCCCTTTTGGAGCAGAGGTATCTTCTAAAGTAATTTTTTATGCCCTCTTCAGAACTGAATAGCTTGTTTGCAACAAATTCATTAAGGTTCTTTAAAAAGTTATAATTGGTTAGAATTAAACCAGAAGTGTATGGCTTCATTATCAAATTTCTTAGTTTTTAGTTAGACTTGTTTAATAGTAGAGAATTAGACTTGTTATGTAGTAGAGAATTTTTTTGAAGCAGAATCTTTTCTATTAACAAATACAGTCCAGATAATTTTTTTATCAAATGTTTCTTGTATCCACTAAAAACTACAAAATAAAAAAAGGCTAAAGGGTTGTAACTTTTTTTAAGAATAAACCAAAATTTTTTTATTTTTGAATCCTTGAAGGAAATCCTTGTAAATTTGATTTTTCATAATAAATTTCATGATATATTTTTATGTGTATATATGTAAATGAATTCTTAAATATAATAAAAAATTTATATATTTTAATATCAATTTATATTTTTTTATTAATTCAATATTTTTTATTTATTTTTTAAATATATATTTTTTTGTACTGATTTTAGAAAAACCAGCTATTGCTTTGTATCCAAGTAATATTTCATACGATTTATACAATATTGAAAAATTAAGTGTTTATTGTAATGGAACTGGTCAACCTTCACCAAATGTGGTTTGGATATCAAGTTTTTCAAATGAGAAAATTATGTCCCCTTGGCTTAATATTACTAAATTTAATGAAATCGGTTTGCTTGAGTTTACTTGTCAAGTTTTTCATCACTTTGGTAACTCTTCATTTATAATCGCTTTGGTAGCTCTTAAAATCACAGTTAATATTAGAGGTAAGATAATAGATTCAGATTATAAAGTAATATAACAGGTTTACATTGCAAGTATAATAGATTCAGATTGCAGCTAAGACAACATGTATATATTTATATATATATAATATACATATATAAATATATATATATATATATAAATGTATACATATATATATATATATATATATATATATATATATATATATATATATATGTATATATATATATATATATATATATATATATATATATATATATATATATATATATATATATATATATATATATATATATATATATATATATATATGTATTATATGATAAAAAATATATATATGTGTGTGTATTATATGATAAAAAAAAGCTAGCTAGCTGCTTGAGATTCTTCCTAAATGTGAATGGAGTACACTAATACACCATACCTCTTCCAACAAAACTCATTCAATCACCATATTGTTGAGGAGTACACTCTTCCTCAAGTTTAAAATACTCCACTAAGGTATTTTCATTCAGCTTTGAATGTCCTACTTGGCAAATGAATCAGTTACAGCCTTGATCTCTTGTTACTGATTTGATATCACTCTGGTATCACCTAGTTTTTCCATTTGTATTGCAAAAGATCTTAAGATCTTTTCAATGAGGAACTGTATCACAAGCGAACTTCTTCAGACACAAAACACAAAGTTTTGACTATCTTTATGATTTTTTGCAAATTGTGGCATTTTGAAAGTTTCTTTGCCACTCTTGACATGCAAAAAACTTCTTCTAAAAATGCTGATTCCTAGAATTCTAAACACGTATACTCCTGATCGTCAGATTTTTTCTACTAATATAGCTTGTTTAGCACTTTAAATGTGCAAAAAAGTTTTTGATTTAATGGACTTGTGAAATTTTAGGACACAATTTTTTATTTGATTTAAAGTTACATTTATTTATATTGAAGATGTAAATTGTTGTGTTTTGGAATAATAAACTCTACTTTTAAAGTGTTTTTGAATGCTGTAAAAGTGAAATAAAAAGCTGCCATTTTTCCTTATTGTGAAAAATGCTAAAATAATAATATCAGGATTATTTCTCCAGAAAGAATAGATTAGAATTCAAATTTAAAATTATTGGAGTCAGGAAACATCATAGTTTCACCCCAGGTAGTAATATCTCAATTTTAACCAAAATTGGAGAATCTTCTCTTTCGCTTAGCACAGTAGATGTGTTTCCAGTATAATTAAAAAAGGCTAGAAAACGCTACTATTAAAAATTAAACTATGAAACAATCATGTTATTGAACACACAATATGAAAAGTTTTCATAAATAAACACATTCTTTACTACAATAAATACCATCATCATCAAAATTAAAACTATCATCATAAAAAAAACACCATCTTCTTCAAAATAAACACCATCATCAAAGTAAACACCATCATCATCAAAATAGACATCGTCATCGTCAAAATAAACACCATCTTTGTCAAAGTTGACTTTTATTTATGGTAATTGATTACTTAACAGAAAAATGACGACGTGTAAGTGTTTTGCATATGGTGGAGCTGATTGAATCAGAAGAAAAATATCCTGTTATTAATTGATACCAGTGTTAGAACCTCCTCATTAATGTAATTATTATATAGTGAATGTACCATCAAACAAGTTTCGTTATTAGTTCAGTTGTAAGGTTTAAGTTATTAATAGCTTACAGACTAATCAAATATAAGCACTTTTAAAATTTCAGCAATTTTCAATTTTAGGCAATGATCGGGTATGTCTAATGGAGATCAAAAACTATGCAAAAACTTAAGAAGAAAGTTGTTAGTTTTATTTTGATTATCAGCTTCAATGCTATCTGCCCTAAATAATTTTTAGTATTTTTAACAATAGATGACTAAGGGTTTCTTCCTTTATTGCTGACGAATCAACATTGGTTGGTGTTAAAATAGTTTTTATAACCAGCTACCTATGTATCACCAATAATCTTTTCCACAATAGATTTTTTTTACTTAAAAAAGCAATGCCCGGGTATTTTAATAGACTATTGCTAGTGATTATTTATTTTAACTGGTAAGTTGGTCCAATGCCAAGCTTATATATATATATATATATATATATATATATATATATATATATATATATATATATATATATATATATATATATATATATATATATATATATATATATATATATGTATATATATATATATATATATATATATATATATATATATATATATATATATATATATATATATATATATATATATATATATATATATATATATATATATATATATATATATATATATATATAATTTCAACAAGTGGGTTATATATGTATTTTTTTAATTTTAATCATGTTATAACAATGTTGCAAGTTGGTTTACTCAAAGTTTTACTTTACTTAGATTCAAAGCCTCAAGACTTTAAGGCAGATTCAGATGAAACTAGCGTACTTCTACAGTGGAAGAAACCTAGCTATTTTGGAAATTTTTTTTTTTATTACAATTTAAGCAGTCCCTTTTTAAATGGAATTCTACTGGACAATACAGTTACTTCTTATAACTATTCAAATCTTCAACCATTGCGTTGGTACACTTTTTATTTAGCTAGTTGTAGTAATTTTAGTTGCAGTGATGTTGTAGAACGAGAAGTCTATACACAAGGTTATTTTTTTAAAAAAATATTTAATTAGTTATAAACATTATTACTTAGATAAATATGTTTGTATATAATTTTTATTTTTACACTTATAGCAAGACCTAATGAAATACTGGAGTTCAAAGTTCAAAATAAGAATGCAACAAGTATTACATTTTTTATAAAGCATGGGAATCTAGGATCAATAAATAATATTTCTTTCACTAGTGTATGTAAAGAAGTTAATGAACGGAAGCTTAATTGCGCAAATGTTACCTTGGAAACAGATTCAATAACATTTTCAAACCTTCACCCATATACTGCCTATCAATTTCTAGCAAAAACATGTATAAATAGGACAGAGCTAATATGTTACAGTGAAATTAAACTGCTTGTGAACACATCAATGGCAGGTTGACTTATTTATATTTTGATAAAGCACAATTGACTGTTAAGTAATATTATTAACAAGTTTGTTAATTATACAATTTTATATTATTAGTAATACTTTATTTGTATTTCAAGTAGTTTATTTTGATAAAAGTGTGTGATGTTTTTTTAGTTAAGAACAGTATTTAACCCATATTAAGATTTTGCAACTTATGTTAGTGTAATGCTTGCAGTACTTATTGTCAGCCGAGAACCAAGAGGCCGTATGTCCATTTTTTGTGTTTGTCCCCTTAGCTTAATATTACTAAATTTAATAAAATTGATTTGCTTGAGTTTACTTGTCAAGTTTTTCATCAATTGACAAGTAAACTCAAGCAAATCAATTTTATTGATTTGCTTGAGTTTAATCAAGTTTTAAAATTTTTTAAAACTTGAGTAAAGAAAATCAAGTTTTAAAATTTTTTAATATTTTAAAAAAGTGTATTTTTATTGAGACTAGATTTATTGAACACATATCCCATTAATTGTTGAATATTTATAGATAATAAACAGAAAAAACACAAAATGTGGACATTTGACCTCTTGGTTCTTGGGTGATGTTATGTTAATGTTACTTGTGTAAGCGTGTTTGTACTACTTATGTTTATGTTTGTGTTTCATATATATTCTTTCTTTACTTCATCAAAGTAAATTTCATACATATGGTTCATATATATTCTTTCTTTACTTCATCAAAGCTGAATTATTTTTATTTTCTTTTATTTGGTTTTAATTTGCACTAGGTCTATATTAACTAAAATTATAGGTTCAGAGTGATGCAGTGTTGTTCAGAGTGTTGCAGTGTATTTCTTAAAAACTTAAAATTTGTCTAAATTAGGATTTTTTTTCTCCATTTTTTTCAGATGAGTGTGTGGTCGTGTGGTAAAATCAATCTAACAGCCTTCTCATTTAATAGTGTTGATAGAAAAATTATATCACATGTCTATCAACCCTATTAAATTCTTTTCCAAATTTTTTATTAATAATAAGAATTTATTTAATATTTTAATTTTTTCAAATTTTTTCATCTGTTTTTTTTAAAGTAAAACATTAAATCTTAATTTCATTTTTTTTGAATAATTAAATAAAAACTGAACATCAATTCAAGTTAATATTAATTAGGAAAATAGAGGTTGGCAATAATTTCCCAACCTCAATCTTTTAGAAGTTGGCATCAGGTCGGAAAAAAATATTTGGTACAAAGGTCTTACCATAAAATATTGAAACGAGGTCAAACACTTTTAGCTCGGCATTGCCAAATGCCAACCCTAATTCTGAGGGTTGTTTTTTTAAAAGTCTAAATAATAGTGATAAAAATACATTGCAGAGTGATGAGAAAACTTATTTCTATGTTGCAGAGTGAGGAGGGAACTGAAAACTATGTTGCTAAATGAGAAGAGAACTGAAAACTATATTGCAGAGTGAAACTGAAACCTTTTACCTCTTTAATTTAGAAGACAGACAGTTTTTTGAAACTGATATTTTATTTGAAAAATCCAAGTCACAATCATTTAGAAACAATTAAATGGATTGCACGGGGTAGTACTGATCAAGCAAGTTACAATGTCTTTATCGCCGTCAGAAACATGCAATCCGTTTAATTGTTTCTAATTTAACAACATATAATTTCTAATTTAGAAACATATAATAATTAAAAAGTTTTATATTATTTTAGTTGAAAATATAAAATATACCATATAACATGAACACTTATGATATATTATCAGTTTATAATGTAACCCATTAATATTACAACATTACACAACATGAACACTTATTATATATTATTAGTTAAAGAAATTATCAGTTAAGTATAATATTAAACTAAATATTAAACTAAAATAAATATTAAAGTAAATAACTGTTAAAATTGGTTTTTATGTTTCAGATAACTATTATTAGTTATTATATATATTATTATATTGTTTACTTTTGTTGTTTAATTATGTTATTAATGATATTATTTTATTATGTTACTTTTTTATTATTTAAAAAAGCCTTGATCAGACTAAATAGATAAGGTTAAAAAATAATTAAAAATTTATTTTGCAAAGGAAAACAATAGCAATAAAAATATTATTAGAATAAAAATCTCAGTTTAATTCAGTATAATTAATGTATAATTAATATGGAATTGAATAACTCTTATTGTTAATAATATTTTAAAATGAGTAAAAAGTTTTACTTCAAAGTACAGTTTATATACTTTATTAAAAAGTTAAAGTATTTAGTACTAATTATATACAGTTAAAATACAGATAAGGTTTTGCTGATTTTTATACATTTAAGTGTGCTTATTAAAATAAGAATTTTTTGAAAATTTCAGCCTCTGGCTTCAAGAAGTTCCTGAAATAAGACTGTTTTATTTTAGCAGATAATGGCCATGCCATTATCTGCTAAAAGTAAAACATATCCATCCCTCTTTTCCCCTCAGAATTGCAAAATTAATTTGGAGGTACACGTTATATTATTACACATTATTCTATATTCATTAATCTTTCAAAAAATATAAAGATTTTGATCTGCAAGTATATGGATTTCCATATATAGATGACGAGGCAGGGTCCCCACTTTTTTTATCGAAATATTGCAATTGATTTTCACTACCTTGCAGACTAGCTGGAGCTCTGAAGTTTTTGGCATGTCTGTAGTGCCAATGAATGTGCGTGTTAAAATTATTTTCAGGGCCCTAAGACATCAGGGGAACTGGGGCAAGTGTCTCACTTTTTTGTAGTGGAATCTTGAGATTTTTAACTACTTTTCAGACCAACTGAAGCTCTGAAACTTTGAGCATTTGTGTTGTTCTGATGAATGCGTGTTACGATTGTTTCCAGGGCAGATGACCAGAGGCTGCATGGCCCAGGACACTTATTTTCTCAAAAAGTTTCTTTTTTTTTTTTTTTGAATTTTCAATAATGTAAAGATAACTTTAAAATATTGTCTTCAAAAAATTTTTTGGTTTGTACTTCTTGCTTTTTATTTAATTATTTACGAAGTAAAATACAGAATTATAAAGTAAAAATGTATCAAGATTGTGTTAAGATTTGCTTAGATGCCTCAACAGTCAAAGTATACATGTTCAGTTGTTGTTACAGGTGCATCAATGATAAAAATAATTGAAACCCAACTCTCATCTGCTCTAGATAACCATAAAAGTTTGTTTAAAGGACCCTGCAGATGCATAAATGTTACTGTAACATCTTGCTCAATTTTGTCAATTTCATTTACCACACCAATCCAATAAACATATCATATTTACACAGAATTAATTCACCAAATTTCAATGTATTCATGTTAATTTGCTGATTAGGTTGAATACTTTGAATATCAGAAAAAGAAAACATGCCAGTTAAATTAAAATCTTCACTTGTTGGTTTAAAGCAAACTGGGAATTTCAGTTCCAGGAATTGTTCTAATTTTAGCTAAAAACGTTTTTTCAAAATGGTGCGCAATTCTGTAAATCTTTCTTTATCAATCTTGAAAAAAATATTATCTTCTATTCAATATCTGGTTATTTATTGGCCTTTGTAGATTTGTATTTGCTGTTAATAGTTTTACAGTGTACCAATACAATCACATGGTAACTTGTAGCAAAAAATCAATGTCGAAGTCATCTTTGTAAAAGTTTTTGTGGTTTTTATACTGTGTAACACAACTATCTAAAAAATAAAGAATCTTTTAAATATTAGGATGATTTTCTTTTATATAATTAACTCTTTGTGTCTGAACTTTATACACAAAACTAATGTCATGCTCATTTTCTTCTGACATGAAGCAAAATGGTTTTTCTTGGTTTTTGATTTTACTGGTCATTTTTGTTTAATAAATAAAGACAACAGGGTGTAACTTGCATTGACTTTGCACCAATGCTAACTTTAGATTTCATCTTGAATCACAAGTGTGTAGTTCTCTGCAGAATCACCTAAGAGAATACAGCAGTCTTTTGCCAACTTTTTTTTTGTTGCCTTAGATATCTTGCTTGACATTTTACAATGTAGGAATGAGCTGTTAATTTGTTTATTGCATTTGATGACATTAATTTGTATTCTTCAATTTTTGTTCTTTGATAGATCAATGTTGTTCTGTCTGCTTTCTTTTCAATTCAAAAAGTTTTAAGTTATACAATGTAAAATTATGCTAAAATAATTATTTTAGGTTGATGAATGTTTTTAATCCATATACTTGCAAATCAAAAATCTTATAGATGTATGTACTTTCTTAAAACATTTTAAGAAAGATCATTGAATACAGAATGTAATAACCAAATGAAGCAAATATGAACCATAAAAATTTTTTGAAAACAATATTTTCAAAGTTATCTTTACTTTAATAAAAATGCAAAAAAATTTTTTTTTGAGAAAAATGGGGCATCTCCCCCAATACCCCAGCCCTTTGTTCATCTGCCCTTGAAACAATTTTAGCACACTTTCATCAGGACTACACAAGTGCTGAAATTTTCAGAGCTCCGGTTTGTCTGGAAAGTTGTCAAAAATCTATCATAAGATTCCACTACAAGAAAATGGGACACATGACCCAGCCCTTCCCCTTGGTATCTCATTGTCACTGCAGAAATGCCTAAAGTTTCAGAGCTCTTACTGTTCGGAAGGTAGTAAAAAAATAATTGCAATACACTGCTACAAAAAAGTGAGGACCCTGTGCCCCATTATCCATATATAGAAATCCATATACTTGCAGTTATATTTTTTGAAGGATCAATGAATACAGAATGATGTGTAATATATATTTTCTGATATCATCAAGGCTACATTGCTTTCTTGAACATTAAAAAGAGGTATATAAAAAATTGCCTAAATTTATTTAAATTAATAATTGCAGGTACTTAAAAATAGTTTTTTATCTTCCTCATCATTTCATTGGATTCGCCCTCCCTGAAAATAGCTAGGTACAAATTTATAAGTAAAAAGGTTAAATTTTTTAAAAGTTATATAACTTGAAACCTCTAAATAAAAGTTGCTATTCTGAAAGGACAAGAGGGGCCTAGTCTACATCTGTTTAAAGTAAAATGATCAAATTTCATGATCTTTTTGGAGCCAGAGCCTTAAAGTTTCAAAGATTTTTACTAAGTACTCTTATTTTACTAAGTACTCTTAGCTGTGTAAAAATTAGCAAAATCTGAGATATAGGGTGACATTTTAAAAAATTTCTGGGTCATTAGACATGGAATTACCCATATTTTAAAATACAGTGGGTGTATTTTGTATACAATGGTATATTTTAAAATACAGTGGGTGTATTTTAGAAAAACAGTCAAAGAAAAATTTACATAATGATGAATTATGATTAGCTTACAAAGCATTACAGAGTTTTGATTAAAATTACAAAATTTAGGAATGAATTACTGTTAAAAAAATGCATTTGGAATACTATATATTTATGAGATTTATATAGATGAAGTATTGTACAGTTTACTTTAAATATTGCTGAAATATTATCAAAGTAATGATGTAGTGAAGTTGAGTAATGATGTAGTGAATTTGAGTAATGATGTAGTGAAGTTGAGAAGCCATCAAAATATAGTTAATGTGCTGGTGAAATAAAGTTAAAATATTTGTCAAAGTTTTTAAAATTAAATTTACATTTTTATTTAATTTTATTTTTTATAGTTCCTTCTCCAGTTAAAATCATTCATGTAAATTACACTGATGATGAAAATAATAGCTTAGATGTAAAATGGTGTACACCTCACCATAGCAAAGCAGATAAGGTTCAATATATTGTAAGTTAATGTTGCAAGTTTGAAGGTTGTTTTACTACTTTTAGTAAATAATCAGTTTTATATCCTAAAAATTATTATTAGGTAAAAAGTATTTCTTTCATTAATAAAAATGTTATTTCATTAATAAAAATGTTATTTCATTAATAAAGATGTTATTTAAATATATCATATTTTTTGTTTAACTATTTGTCTTATTTACTTTCAAATGTCTCTTTTAGATTGTCTATAAATATTTAAATGATGAACTTAATATATCATTAGAAGATCTTCATCCCATAAATACTTGTGGTAACAATCAACATGAATATAGTTTTCGCATTACCAATCTATCTGGAAAAGCTTGTTATTCGATTAGGGTAGATGCAAAGAATGAAATGGGCGTATCAAATGGGAAAACAATCAAGATATTGACTGATGAAGAAGGTAATAAAGCTTTTGTGTCTGTTGGCTCTTATTTTTAATTAATTTTTTCTTTATCTATTTTTCATCTTTATAAGATAAGGATTGGGAATTACAAGAGACGTTAAACTCAAAGTATGAGTTATAAACTCATTAACTATTAATTAATTATTTTAATGTACGTATTAATTTAGTTGATGTACGCTTTTAAGTAGTGGTAAAAAGTAAGGTCTCTAGTGTAAGCTTTAAACGTGATGTGTTAGAAAAGAAGTTTCCCTAAGACTTATTAATTATTTACGAGAAATTCTTTTGTGTTTCTACCACTGCCTCAAGATAACACTTATTAATTAATTCTTAGTTATTAAACTCTATTATGTAGAATTTACTTTAGAATGTAGTACTTTAAAATCAAAATTTTTGTCACTAAACTTCTAAACTTCACACTCACTTCTTTTTTGATCCTTTCAGTTTACTACTGAAATGGTTCAAAAAATTGTATATGAAAAATTATCCATCATGTG